AATAGAGGAAGGGTGGAGGTTGAGCTTGCGTGTTTAACACCGCCCTTCTGTCATCCATGAATAATTCAGCTTTACCTGTAAAGCAGCTTGTCAGGTAAATGCTAATCTAGCATTTCTATGGACTAAATGATAACAGGAATCACACAAAATTCACTTCTTTATGTTACCTATGTATCATATTGCGAATGCCACAAATGGAAGGCAGCATAACTAGCCTGCATCTTCAGTTAGCTTTCCTATTTTCGGAAGCCTTGATAACGTGCACACCTTTTTTTCAAGAAACGTTGACCAATATGACTCTGATTCAAAAACTAATACAGCAAATGCATTCACATAATTTTTATTCCAAATTCCTTTTATTTTGAAAATAAGATATTGATAATGAAAATAACACACAAAACGACATTAGTTTGCAATACTTTCAAAGCAAGAGATCACAAAATCGCGTACATTAGTAATACCCAGAGCCAGTTCAAGGTATGTAAGTGTTATTTCTTACAGACAGAGAAAACAATTCACAGACTTTAATCCAAGGTCACATGATACTTTAAGTGGCAGATCTCAGAACTGAACTATTCTGTAAGACAAGTCTCTCCCCGGTTTATTGAAAGTACTCTAATTAAACATTTAATGGAGAAAATTCTCTCTGAAGGTTCTTTCTCCTTTTAAAAAAAAATGTAGGTGTGAAAATATATACACTTTTATTTTAGAAGAAGAAACTACTGTATCCTTTTCTCTTCCCGTTTTAGTAATGTGTACAGTGTCTATCATAACAATAACTTTTCAAATCTTTCTGGTTTTATACTATTAAAAAGAAGTGAGAATGCACTGAGTGGTATTAATAAGCTTTTCATAACTAGTGAACAAGAATACATAAAGGTCCCCTAAACAGATAATACATACTGCCCAATTTTATACAGTCTTTTACTTAGATAAGGTCAGATGTTTCTGAAGCACCTTGAAAATATAAATTATGATACATAATACTGATAGTTATTTATCATTAGAGAAACTGTAAAACACATGCAACAGGAGGAATAACAAAGATATCCATTTAGTTGTCATGACTCCTGATTTCCATATTTACAGTGGAATTTAATTTATTATTATCAATCTATCTACATTTTAATTAATTTAATATATCAGAGTGTGCTTTGTTGTGTAATTATAGTTACAGAACTTTTATCTTTTCAGCTATTTTTTTATTGGATGCTTCTCCAATTACATGTAAACATTTTAGGAAAGATTAAAGTAATTCCTATTTACAGTTAGTGGAAAACAAGCTGTCCATACTCCCGCTGTAGTAGAGATTATAGGTGATATATAATATGCTGCACCATA